AGTTATTTATTATGTGTGTGTTTGAAGATATTAGAACAGTATATGGTTGATACGTTAGGTAGTAAACTATAGATGATGAGCTGGTGCTGAGAGTATATCAAGCTAAACTATTATTGAAAGTGACACATCAGCACCCAGCGATGGACAACAATAGCAATCGTCATTAGGCATATACACTTCATAAAAAATTTTCATACAACAAAGCAATGCAACGATAATATCAGGCTTCATAAATTCGGCATAATCTCTCTCTCTTACTTACACCTGTTCTTGAGCGGGGATTTATACTATTAGTTAACGACGCTGTTACGACTTACAACTTCTGTACTAGTTAATATCATACACTTTTCAATCTCCACCAATTCATTTTCATTCCATTGTTACGGTTATTCATATACGCTATATTATTCAGTTATAGGAACTAAATATCGTTACGCGGGGTACGTTAATGTTGCTTTTCGACTTCCTGCGCGGGATCGATTCTTGACTGAAACCTCTCGATTTCTCATCCAATAGCAATAAGAACATGGCGTCATATTAACTCAATTATTTCCTGCGCGCGGTTGTTCCCCCGAGCTTTGTTTAGCTCCCAGCCACGAAGCGACGGTCCTGCATTACATTACATGTAACTGTTTTCACTTACAGAGATGCGCTTCTACCCTTGTAAGCTGTAAGCTCTTACAAGTCGATCGGTTACGTGTAATTACCTAGCTCTCGCTCTTCGTCGCTCGGTATTTTTCTTGGGAATTTTGAGTTTTATCTTATTGGCTTCGATATGTCTCCTGTGCCGTTCGAGCAGCCGGTGAGGTATGTGTTGTCGATATCTCATTTACTTGTGAGCGGACTAATTAAGAACGTTGATTCTAGGCTTACTCCGCTGGCGGTGGTTAGTACCTATCTTACGGCGGTAGTCTACTTGACATATGCAATCGTAGCTGGCCTCTACGCATCGTATAAGTCCTTAGGTCCAGCTCAAGACACCCGATCACGTTGTGCGCAGCGCAGGAGATTGGTCCCTATTTTTCTCGGACTTGCTGCCGTGGCTTTTTCTCTAGCTACTTACAATTCTGTGGCGTCCGCAGTCTTGTCGTATAAGACATGGGCGCATGAGCAGGGCATCCATGAACGAGAACGGTATTTACTTATTGGTCCAGTTCTAAGCATTATCTCAGTACCCATCTAACGTACATACAGTCATAAGCTTGCCGAGAAACTTATCCTTACACCTCGGGATTTAAAGAGATCGAGCTCCCTTTATATCACCCAATGGTTGAGCGATACTCCAATATTTTACGATGCCATAGAGATTGTTGCTGAAAAGGCCCGTCGCTTCTGGTGGGGGCAACAGATTGACCTTGCGACGGTAGCGTTTAGCATGCTATTATCAATCGAGGGGCGACGACGAAATATCCCCCTAATACCTTCATTTTTGATTTTAGCGCACCTCGTCAGTTTATCGTTCGCACAGAATCTATTTTACGTCGCTCTTCTCCTGACTCCGTCACCACTGCCTCCAGTAAGTGAGAGTCTTGAGATGCCAGTCGTACCTCTGCTCTCGACGTTGGCTTGGATTCGCGACAAGCTTATTGCCCCCAAACCAAAGAATTGGCACTTATATCCTCGCATCCTTCTCACGGTCCTGGCCTTGAATTATGTATCGATATTCCTTCTCCCTTATGCTGCGGACACACATTCATTTGTGAAAATCGTCCATGTCGCTCGGGCGTCGACTTTCTTGCCCCTTATCTTACCAGCAATTGCGCCGGTCAGCTGGGGTACCGTCTACTTATATCCTTATGATGCTTACGACTTATTCAAGACGATATTTCGAACTATTTCCGTCGTATCTTTCGCATTGCACGCCAAGTCCACCGTTGAGGGCCTACGCTACAATATTCCGGATTCCCACCACCATCGTCACAGCGTCTTCCTCCCCTGGAATGTCGAAGAGCGAACCAACTGGGAACGCAGCACTACGGCAATCGGCAAGGTTTTGGGTTCCCTCTATGATCATCCTGCCGTAAACGCTGTTGGGTGTGATGTTTTGGTCTGCACAATCAGCCTAGGTCTGTGGGCTGCTATCCGTTCTATAAGCGTACAAGACATAATAGCATCGGCTGTCCCGAGTTTCAAATTTCGCCTTAGGGCTAGGCGCGTCGTCGAGGATAAGATGTTTCGTATTCGTCGATCACCTTATAGTCCTTATACCCCGATCAAAGCGCTTTACGATTATCCCGAAGAACGTCCATCAGAACATTCGATGATTCTAAGAAGCCAAAGTAGATCGGCGCTATCGAGGCTACGGAGTTCATCGAGGTTGAGGAATGCGTCAAGGCTAAGGAGCGGATCGAATACTAGAGATTCATCAAGAGTCAGAAACATGTCGAAAGTAAGGGATGTGTCGAGGGCGAGAAACGTATCGAGACCAAGAAATTCATCAAGGGTGAGAAGTGTGACGAGGTTTGGAAGTGTTGCTAGCTCGTGTACAGCTAGTGAGGACGGGACTATAACCCCCGGGCAAAGACGAGGACGCGCAAGAGTGTCTAAGAAGCACGACGAGAAATTATATCGATCTGCTCTGTTCTCGCCTAGATCATCGGTAGAGTCTGACCTCTTACCGGCTACGGAATCAGATTGGGACTCTGCGGCTGTAGCTTGGAGCATGGTTGCATTTGCCGGCCTCGGTTCAGCGTCTGCGGGTGTTCTTGGCGGGGAATGCATTTCGAGATGAGAAACGAATGGGTTGGTTAAGGTTATCATGAGGAGTTTGGATTAATGATGAGAGCAATGAGGTAAAACAGGATTGGGATGTTGGAAGCGGTTAACGATGGGAAGCGGTTTATGACTTACGAATAACACTCAGCTTAGCGGTCACGGCTGAGTACCTACATTATATACCTATCTAGATAGATATTAACTCAACAATTCTAGATTTCCATACTGGGGAGTGTACACTCCGTGGTATGATATGTCTTTTACCTCTTCAGAGGAATTCTTGCGCAGTAGCGTACTATGCTAAGGGGAAAACGCCTCATCATGAGCCTGTTGTCGCTGCACCTGAAGGACCATCTAGCAGAAACTCAGGCGACAAGATATATTAATCGAAAATTGTCTCGCGAAGTCAAGATATAGTTGAATTCGAAAATTACTGTTTACTTTTCTTTTCAAACCGCTGCCAACCTTGCTCCCTTGTTCCTGCCCCTGGCCCCTATCTCTAAGGTGCCTATGTACATCATTTCAACACAGAGAAAGAACTGCCGTATCATATCCGTAGTCGCTTTCACGCTCTCTGGTAAGCTCAGCCTTGGGGTACTCCCTGCTATCACACTATCTCTCGCTAATTGCTGATTCCTCAAAATCTATGACTCGCGTAGGTAACGTTCAGACAAGGTGCAAAGAGCTTCATCAATACATGTATCTAATCAGTGCCAAAGCCTCCCTACGACAAAGCCAGAGACCAGACTATGTAAACCAGTCTGATCGGTTCATCTCTAATCGCGATGCTGGGTACGCTTATGTGGCCTCATACAATTCAAATATTATATGGTAAACTACCGCCATCATCATGTCCTACATAAAAAAATGGCTAGGTAAGTTTCTTTACGTCGCAACGGGGGAGAGGGATAGTCTCATGACGATATGCAATCGCTAATACAGAGAAAACACAAAAGCGGAAACGAAATTAGTAGAGTCCTCCAAGGGACTCCAATATCTGCCCCAATTGATACGCTACCGCATCTACTGGTTCTACCTAGATCTCAGAGAGCCTCTCGTCCTTAACGTCCCCAAGACCAGATCAGCCGGCATCTCCAGAGGAATGTTTTATTTCGGCTGCCCCTGTCCTATCGTGGATACTGTTCGTGGACGACGACTTGAGGGTCCTATTGTCGACGTCAATCTAGCTTTTACCTCCAAGTTCTTCAGCAAGGATGTTCTCAGCTACCTATATGGTAGAACGGTACGCGATAATACACAATCCCTCTCCCCCCTTTCAAGTCGTAACTTTATTAGGTTAGGTCCTAACTAGGCACCTGTACACTATAGACCCTCGCCTTCAAGTGCACCTGCACCTTTATATACCACATAAGCAGCAACAGCGAGCTAGCCGCCAACATATCCCGGCTCAAGCTGTACTGGTCAGGCTGCTTCTCCAACTACGCCTTCACCATGCTACAGAGCATCCCTCTGACACAGCTCGAGATCGTCATCGGCACGTTCACGACGCAGTACTGCTCGTATCCCGAATCGGCGTACCGGAAGCACTTTAAGCGGTGGAGGACCGATCTGACCCATGCCCTGGGCATGTCCGAGCTGCTCATGCTCCGCGGCATCAGAGGCGTCTCGGTCACTTGCGTAGATGACCGCACGCTCCTGCTCGGCGACGAGGACCGGTATAGCCTCCAGGCGCTCCTGAGGGAATATCTAACTGAACCGGTCAACAAATACCTAGAAGCCGAGGTCGCCCCTAGTCGTATCCGAAAGAAGGGATTGCCAAAGATGAATAAATTAATAGCTCTCGGAGGGGATGATAGGCCATAATTTTTTATTTTTTTTTTTGTTTCTTTGGCGAGGATTTGGAACGTCCTTCAATACATATGATGATAATGCAAGCGGCATGCGAGTTCTTTAAGTTTCATCATCCAGGGCTGGGTGGTTTATATGTTATTTATTACACACAAACATACATCTTCATTGATGTCAACCCCATGGCGGGAGAAGCGTCGGCATTACTTTAATTAAACACTTTTGGCTACTCACCAGCGACTACTTGGCTTATTCTGTATAAGTACCTATATAATAAATCGATTACCTTAGATGTCTATAATTTTTTTTTATCTTATTTAGTGCATGTGTAAAACGACCGCAAATTGTTCGCACCACAATCGTGCAAGCGACAACAACACCAAGAAGAGAGAAAAAAAAAAAGAAAAGAAAAGAAAAAAGAAAAAAAAAAGAAAAAAGAAAAAAGAAAAAAAGGAAAGGAAAAATGCAAAAAATCATAGCCCAAGCAGGATTCGAACCTGCCTCACTCCAGCGACTCCGTCCTCGGCTCAAGCGCTGTATATGTTGTATATGCCCTCTATTCTATCCTCTATGTCTTGTCTAGTCTATTCCAAGGTGACCCCCCCAAACGCCAAACGACTGAAAGGAAACGCCTCGGGAAACTGGAGTATGTTACCACTACACCACTGGGCCTTTTTCTTTTTCTTTATTTTTCTTCGTACTGGACTGTCGGAAATTACGCCCTTTAACGTGCTTGCCAGTTGGGGACGATTGGCGGATACCTGAGTGACAACCTAACCTAATGCACGTCGTTAAGGACAGAGGAAGGCGCAGAGCCCGACTTGTCAAAGACATGCAAGCATAGGTACTTTAAATAGGCAAACATAATATTAAACCGCAACTGAAATATTAATTAACATACATTAATTGATTAATGGATGAACCATACAGGACGGGACATTTAGTAACAGAACGACACGACTATCTATATCACCATATTACAAAGGCCCCCTTTATGCATGCAATGATTCCGCCTCCCTATAATGAACTTCGCCAAGTCCTTTAATATGTATATCCACTAGACTTAATAACACGTATTTACACCTCATGCTATTCTGACTCGACCAGTCAGTACTCCACTGTATATAATGTTCGCGGTCCATAGGGCTGAAAGTAGTCCCACAGCCAACGGCGGATTCATATAACGTGACAATACCTTTGTGTGTGTATTCGCATACAATGAAAGGCAGATGAATACGGTGGTGAGCATCGCCGTCTCAGCAAACCGCCCCTAGCGGCCCTCCCAATAACCCACGACAAGTTTTGCTGTGGCATCTCCTCCAAGCCAGATATGGTACTGTAGGACGTACGTCTCTAGCGAAAAGGTGCCTAGGATCTTGGGTAATGTAAGGTACCAATCTCTAAACATTCTGTGGGAGTTCCTGAGCAGTATGAAGCCGAGAATTGGGATCCAGGATATAAATGGATGGAGTTGGTTGTATACCCGCTTCTCTTGCAGATATGTTTGCGTGGCGTAGAAGAATATCACGATACTCCCTACGCAGATGGTAGTAAGCCAGCGAGTGAATGTAAGAGAGAAGATCGCTTTGCCAAAACCAAGTTCAAGAACAGGTCGCGATCTGCGGACAGACGCGTGATGGACAAGAGCCGCTACGATAATCCCGACGAAGGTGATGTAGCGGTCTAGACCCAGCCTGAAACGCATTTCTTGCACATCGATGGATATGAAGAAAAAGAAGTGTACGATTTTGGCGGCAGTTTCGAGGACACCAGGCGCGAGGATAAACCAATTGGCGAGTCTCGTTGTCAGTAACACTTTGAAAAGTAGCCAACGCACATCCCGGTTGCAGCTTTTGAAGAAGAAAAGCATCGCGTACAAAACGAGATACCAGAAGGTTGCAACGGGAGCAAAATAATATGAAGTGTATGTCGTCCCCATCATATATGAAAGGAGAACACTCAAAAGATTTATCCGAAACAGGATCTCTATGACGCGTTGCAAAGAGAAGTCATCCGTTGTGAGAAGATATTGCGTATGGGCGTAGCCGGATATGTAGAAATACCCAGCGATAAACAGTCGGATGATCTTGTAGACCCAAAGAACTTGGGATGCGTAGTGGTAGTGATAGAGTAAGATAATTCCCTGCATCAAGCCCTTAATCTCATTAGACTGATTTCGCGAGAGATACCCCGGACCGCGATAGCCTGGAGGATCACGTTTAGACGGTGAAGGGCCACCTTTTTGTTGAGGACTTCTGCTTAGCGATAATACGCTCGCTACCAGCCAGATAAAGCAGGTCGTGACGAAAGTGCCTTGTTGATAATGGCGTTCGACTTTTCCTAGAAATGAGATCCCATCGGCGCACCAACACCATATGAGGATAATAAGTATATTACCAATGGCTAAGGCACAGTTAATACCTTCTGAACTACCTGAGACCTCCAAGGCGCGACGCGCACCAGTCGTGAACCCTACCACAAGACCCAATAAAAGGCAGGCTGCCACAAATACGTCATTCTTGGGGGCGGCGACGCAGCATGTACCTCTGAATGAGCGTGAACGAGCGCTTGCTGCTGAATTGCAAAGTGCATTGAAAACAATCTCAAGTTTGAGTGATGCTACGCTGTCAGACACATGCAAGCCGTCCCTATCGAAGTCCTTTCTAGGATCCATGGGAATTTCGTTGTACACCCAAGGAATAAAAGTCGAATTTCTTGTAAAGACTCGGGAGAGATGATAATTCATTTCTTCAACCCGATCGGGTGTAATGCTTTTCGACCGATTGGGAGCCAAGTCTTCATAATTGGGTATTCCTACTGGCGTTAGAAAAATCTTGCTTGTTACGCCACCGGAATTTCGTGTTGTTGTCATTGCCGTTGATATGTTTTTATTCAAGTCAGGCGACAGGTATGGTAAAATACCAGCAATCGCTCGCTTGAATATATTCAAATAGTCATCACCACCGTATCGAGCAGCCCAGAACCCAGGAGCACCCAAGACAATGAGCATTGGGGGCTGTTCATTCATCTCCGTGCTTTCTTCGCTGAGAGTAGGAGGGAGAGCATTGAAATTCTTTAGTATGTCATATGATGTGCTAGAGTTTAGCCAGGGATCCCAGATGAAGTCTAGCTGGGCACAGTCAGTTCGGAAGAATAAATTATGATGTTTGTTGTTTGATTGAAGTATACGCTTCATGCTAGCTTCGGATCGGCCACGAGCGACCTTTTTGGCCGCAGTCCAGAAAAGCTGCCGGATCGTAGAGTCACCGATGAAGACAAGTTTTTGGTGGTCGAGGCACTCGCAGAGAGAGTCTGCAGCATGCTCGACCATACGACAACCCTTTGGTTCCCATTTTCGAGAGCCGTCTGGAGCCAAGGGTGACCATGTACCATTTTGCAGGAGAGTTAAGCATTTGTGGGGATCTTTTAGGCCTGTCGAGTTGTTAGAATCAATTTTATAAGATGAAAATGGCTGCTAGGAATTCGAGTGTTATGGCCGTACCGAACTCATGACGAATTTGCTGTGTGAGAATAAGAAGCCAAACAAGAAGACCGAAACCAAAGTTGGAAAGATGAACTGAGTAAACCTTTTCATCCGACATTTTGACCATAGAAAACAACACCCAAAAAGTAGACGTCGTGGTCTGATATTGAAAGAAACAAGTGTCTGAGAGAGAAGTCCCAGATGTTTGGATAGAGAGAATAGTTGCATTGTAGCTGGGTGGCCGTATCTAAAGTATGCCCTGTTGTCCCAATCCGTGTCTTTGGGTAGTGACAACACAGACTATCAGCCAAAACTTCCATTTTTCACTCCGACGGGAAAAGTAAGGTTGTAATTGCGAGAGTGAGAATATCATAGATGACATCATCTAAGTTGTACACCATATAGGAGAAGGGAAGAGCAATTGCTGATATAAGTGACATCGGCCACGCAGAAGGCGGAAGGCTACATTTTGAAAGTTAATCGAACTTCGCCGTAGGAGGTGTTCTACCTAACTTAGTTGCCCAGATTAAAACTATGAAGAAGCTTATCGACTGTCCTACCTTTAAAGCTATATACATATTTGACTAGAAAGGGCTACCGTAAGTTATAAGTGTATGTATGAATAGCTGACTCGCCATCTTTTGTTATAGAAGCATTTCGTGAGCAACTACGGATTCAAGTTATCTTCATGAGCGATGAAATCCCAGGGGGTGGCTAGTACAATATGTAGCACGGGCTTAAGATAGGTTGTGGCTGAGTCAAGCCCCACACAAGGTGCCCGAGAGCTGGGCATAAAAATTCTCCGCCAAATAAATTCTGCATTTTGATATTTCTCTTCACCAAATAAACTATTTGACTAAATCCAAGAAGTCAATATAAATCCGGACATCATTCCAGCGTTGATGGTAATTACTCTCATAGATCTGCTTTTTGGAGCTAAATGATTCAATGACATGAGCTTTAATCTACCATGGAAGCGCTGCGTGGTATTAAACAGGTAAGAAGGCACTATTGCACTTGATCGTGTGTATAGGTCATCGCGTCTTAGAGAGTGCGCATACTGTGATTATGATTGCCTCTAGGTATTGTCAAAATGGCCATAGAAAGATAAGTAAATGATATGAATTCGTCTTTTGCCAATGCTCGGTCAGGCTTGATTCCACGTCTGATCTTGAGCCGGATACCTCGCATGAGCGTATGAGACAAGAGCAAATTTTACAACGATCTTTGAGTACGGGACCTCCCGGCGAATAGCGTCGAGGCTCTCGTAATTTATCTGTTGCTACATTAAACACATAAGTTTATCACTTAGGAACTCCGGTACTGTGCGCGTTTGTATACAAGTACACACAAGATATTCTTGTTCAAGGGTTTCACATTTCATTAAGTCATGTATTGCTATCTCGACCCAAACAAATTTATCGAACTCTGATCATGATACAGTCTGAGGATCTCTAATCAATATTCCGAAAGATACTTGAGAGTACCCATCTGTAATGTTCTAATGACTGCGTTACATAGTACGAACAACGATTATTACACAAGAGTCAAAACACTCATTGTTCAAGCATACCACTCGCCTCCGAGCCACCTGTTGAACAGGTCTAGAGAGCCCTCAGGCTGGTTGAACGGAACCATGTGACCAGCCTGGTAAATGCGGGCAAATGTGAAGTTGCCGCTGCTCTTCACTACACCGTAGTTGTCAGAGCCCTTAGAGAGATCCTTCAGCTCAGCAGCGTTGAATCCCTTCTTGCCGTGCCACTCAAGTGCCTCCGACCAGGCCTTGTTGCCGAGCCAGTTGCAAATGTAGTCGGCGTCACCAGCATAGATGAGGACAGGGACCTGCTTGATAATGTCAGGGACGAGGCGGTGGAAAGGCTTCGACCAATCGCCCTGGAATAAGAAGTTCCTATTGATATCCGTGTTGCAGCTCTCGTAGTCTTGCACTTCGGCACCTACGGCCTTGAGAACCTTCTCCTGGTTTAGGTACTTGCTGATCCAAGCAGTCTCGGTGTAGCAGAGGTTCTCTTGGTCCTTGCACTTCTCGCGGATATCGTATACGTTGTATCCTGTGCGTTGGAAGGGGCCAATCATAGCATTGTTACAGTAGATGGCGCTGGGAACACAGGACCAAACGCTCTCCGACTCGTAGCAGCTTGAGATGAGGGACTGGCATCGGGGAAGAGCG